TCGAGTCCTGGTCGGGCCAATAGGTGAAGGCAATCGGAGTTGCTCCTTTTCGACAGTACCGACTTTGCTGGGGGCCAAATGGGGCACCTTTCTTTGCGAGTCGAGTAATTAAAAAATTTCTTCATTGAACTAACATATTCTTTATATATTCGTATATGCATTTTTTAAATTGCAGGATTAAACGATTATCAGATTGGGTAATTCAAAAATGTAAAAAATTATGATTTGTAAAATTCAGAAATTTCTAAATAATTAAGCACATAGGTCTTCAAAATTGTGGTTGATCAAATTTGACTTTGGTTTTATAAATTTAAAAAATCACGAATCTTGAAGGAGAAAGAATTAAGTTGACGAAAGTAGTAGAAGTTAAGTATACGAGTCATCAAGAAGCCTCCAAAGAATTTAATCTTTGATTATTATGGTTCCCACTAATTTTATAGATATTTATTAAACTTGACTTAACTAGTTCTCGAAAAGGACTTTCTTTTAATATAAATTTTTCAAAATTTCAGTGGGATATCTCCGGTACCATAAAATGACCCTATCAACGCATATTAACCCACATTAATAACACAAATGAGATAAAAAATAAAAAGTACTAAAATTGCGAGTAACTTGCCCTGAATTTCGAGATTTCTCAAAAAGGGGTCAGTAGTGATCGATGTGGATGCTCGTTGATTTTGGACAAAGAATGGCTCGGATGAGCTGGCGATTCAAAGGACAAGCGGTTAGCTCGGAAAATAGCTAATCGGGAATTTGGTTAACCCAGTTCCATAGACCTCGTTCGTAAGCGCGACCTTTGCATCTGTCGCCCGTTTGGACTAGCCCAGAGAAGACAGAGAGGGATCCATCTCGAAAGCTGCTCCACCTGCCACCGGACACCAGTGTGACCAGGCTGACCGTCCGGCAGCACGCCCACACGAATTGCTACTGCGTTATTTCGAGTGTTTTAGCCTTGGGTGGCGGCCAGAGAAAACTTTTGAAATATCGGGGAACGCTTGGCCTCTTCCTCGGCCATCAGGACTTCGGGATAAGTACGGATCACCAACGAGTAAAGCCACGTTCAGACTAGTCAACTACCTTGCCTTTACTGGCCGACAGCTTTCTTGCCTTTACGAGCTCTGGGAATTTAGGACAGTTCTTCGATCTGTTACAATCAGATTACTTGTTGAAAATACGCGTGGGGAAGGTATTTTCGTTTTGACCAATCATAGTCACTTTTTTTGGTATCCTAGGACTCCTCTTGTGACGTAGTTCATATCACTATTTGTCAGCAGTGAGAAGTTCATCTTTCTCATCCTTAAGTACTGCTGGGAGCTGAGAAGCTGGCAATTGGGCAAGAGTGAACTGCTTATACAACCCATCTGAGGCATCCTTTGTATCTACATTAGTTTTTTGTTTGTTTAATTGCAGTGTGTGTTATTTTTATGTGTGTACGAAGTTCGGTCCTGTGTAGGTTCTTTCTAAAATCTTAGGTTTTATATTAGATCCTAGACTCCTCTAGGACCTCCACATGTACCTCTGATATTGGCTCCAGGACTCTAATTTCTTCAATTGTGTCCAAACTCTTCCTCGATTTTTCTATGATCCTTCTAAGATACTTTTAATTCCTTCTAAATTCTCCAGGGCCTCCCTAAGTTCTTCAATTATGTCCAAGCTCTCCCTCGATTTTTTATACGATCCTCCTAAAATATTTTTAATTCCGCCTAAATTCTTCCTATGATCTTTCTAAAATGTCCGAAGTTCTCCATATGCATCTTTTCATCTTACATTTTTCAATTTTCAGCAAAGAGGTTAAAAATAAAATATCCTTTGAACGCAGATATTCTGCATTAATTGCCACATAAATTATGAAACTATACGTCTGCACTTGTTTCAAATGCCGTTACGAGCCTGTATCTCGCGGTAGTAAATCATTAACTTTGTGTTAACGTCGCCTGTTTCGTCAAGAGTATCAGGGATCATCGAACTGTCTGCCAAGATTACGACGAAATTTAAGAGCTACTCCCGCATCGCATATGCTTCGCTGGTCGCTTAACGATAAGACCCTGGTATTACGGAAAATCCGTAAACAATGCTGGTTCAGTGTTCCGTCATCCTGCGATAATTTTCTGGGAACATCAATGTTCGTTTGGAGATTTGGAAGATTAGGAGACTCGGTAGTGTGTAATTTGAGGATTTGAGAAATTGGGAAGTTTGAGGGTTAAGAGGTTTGAAAATATGGGAATTGGGGGATTCGAAATTGTGGTATTTGGGGATTTAGGAGGTTGAGGCTTTGAGGTCTTAGAATACTGAGAATTTGGAGATATGGGCACTTGGGAAGTTCAGGATTTGGGGGTTGTCAAATTTGGAAAGTTGAGAATTTGGGGGGTGTTGAAATTTGGGACGTTGAGAATTTGGGGATATGGAAATTTGGGAAGATGAGAAGTGGGATGTGGTGAAATTTGGGAGGTTGAGAATTTAGGGACATGGAAATTTGGGAAGATGAGAATTGGGGTGTGGTGAAATTTGGGGAGGTGAGAATTTCGGGGGTGTTGAAATTTGGAGAGGTGAGAATTTGTGGGTATGGAAACTTGAGAAGTTAAGAATTTGTAGTATGGAAATTTGGGACGTTGAGAATTGGGGGATATGGAAATTTGTTAAGTGATTCAGAAATCGGAGAATTTGTAAACTTCGAAAATTTTAGGTGTCTAAACTTAGGAATTTAAGAACCTAGATGAAACCTAAATAAAACCTAAGTAGAACTAGACTTATCAATTTATGTAGAACTCTAGAGACACCTACATAAGTAAGTCTACATTGAACCCGAATGAACCACATCGACGTGAGCACATAAAGTTGACCCCATCCCTCCAGAGTACAAACCTCCACTTCACCATTCAAACCCCAAAATAATCGAAGTGACACAAAAAAAATTCCCTGCTAAAACATTTCTTGCCTGCAGTAAATATAAAAATAATCAGATAAATTAAAAAAATTGTTCCAAATGAAAATGTGTTGTACAATTGTACAATGTACTGAAAATTGTGGTTACGACCGTGCATCAGCAGGAAAGCTTTCCAAGAAAATTTTCGGCGAAGGCATGGCGAACGTCTCGTTTTATTTGGCACGAAGCGATCGTGACGCGATGGACGCGTCGGAGACAAAAAAGCGGTTATAGAGAAGGATGCGTGGCGATCGACGAGTCGCGACGGCAGGGATAATTGGATTTTTCAAAGAGCATGGAACTTTGGCAGCGTGGAAAGCTTCCTCGACCGAAACGAGTCCCGAAATGTCCGCCACAGGAACGAGAAATAATAATAACAGCTCGCGCAAAGATTCCACTCTTGATTTCGATCTAACATTTAAATAGATTCTGCGACTGGTGTTCTCGATGCGGGAGAGACGAACGATCCTCGTCACTGGCTGAACTTCGCAGGGAATCGACTTCGCGTTTGTTTAACTTTTTCAGCTTTGCTTCTTTTTTTATCCTTGCGAATGTATTTCGCGCACATTCTGGGGGAAAAAGATTGGGCAGACTTCGTAAGCGCAGACGCTGCTACGTAACGATGCGTTTCGTCATCTTCGATTCGTCTCGAGACGCGCGAAACGTTGCGAACAGATTTCTGCGAGTTGATTTTCTTTCGATTATGTAATTGCAATAGGTGCACGCGGGGGAGTAAATAGACATTTACTACTTCGAACAGAAGTAACATCAATTTTTAATTTTATGGTTTCTTTTATTATTTGGCAGTCGGGCGACGTTTATTACTGGGACTGCTTTTGGCGTTGGAGTGCTCAAGGTTGGTGCTGTGAATAGGAGTTAATTAAAGATAGGAAGTTTTAAATTTGAAAATTGTTTGCACATTTTTAGGATCGATAGTTTTTAGGTTTGACAATTTCTAAATTTTTACACTTGATAGTTGGAAACTAAATTTCTAAATTGATACACTTGATAGTTTGAAATTTCTAAATTTCTACGTTCTTACACTTGATAGTTTGAAATTTTTGCATTCTTACATTTGATCATTTGAAATTTCCAAATTCCAAAACTAAATTCTCAAGATTCATTTCGATATGGTTTAACATTTGATACATAATCTGATACATTCAATTATTTGCACCTTACTACATGACTGACTTAGGGTAATTGAACTCCATACAACATATGAAGGATAATCTACTCAGTGACTCAAAATCTTGAATTCAATTCGTATTGTAATAAACAATAAATACAGAAAATACAAAATGAATTTTAATAACTATTAAGTACTAATCTTAAAGTAGGTTTAAACAAAGTTGTTTAATGAAATGGTTCAACAGAAGCTTGAATTAAATTAGGTGATGTATTCTCAATAAATTTTCTCTTAATGGTTGTGATACATAAATGCACTTTTCGATCACTCTACTATATACATGATCTGTACAATAAAATTAGGAACACATTAATTCTTATATTTTTTGACGATTTGTGCATTTGTTCTGCGTGTGGTGAATAAAGGAGTAAAAAAAAAAAAACATCTTTTTGAAAACACTTCAAACAAACAGAAAAAAGTTACATTTCATTTGTTATAGAAAGAAATTATTTCTTATTTTGTGCGTTATATTTGTATATCGAATTACTAAAGTACATTTATATTTTTTATAATATATTGCAAACATGATAGAACAATTTTTCTGACTGCCATTTTGTAATATTTTGAGCACATACAGAAGTAAACATTTTTTAATATAATGCTTTGATTTAAATGTCTTCGTTAATAAAAGATTGAAAATGTTACTATTTTTACTAACAATTTTGTAAAATAATCATTTTTAAATAAAAGTACCTCGATTTACTTATATTTAGAAATGTAAAAGCTTTATTAAACGATCTAGAAATTCGTGAACAATGCACAATCCGCAAAAAGTCACTTTCTTATAAGAAACTAAAAGATTAGTCTAACTACGAAGGACGTATGAAAGTCTGTTTGATGACCCAGGCAAATAAACCACTGGACAAGACGATCCCGCTCCTGGAATTAAAAGCAATTAAACTTTGATCATTATCTGCAATGTATTATTATCAACATTTCTTATTCACGTTCACTTCGTCTCGACGACTATTGAAGACACTGAAGACACTTGAAAGTGAATGTTGAAATGTGTCTTCATTCGAAGCGATACTTCAGTTGAATTTCAAACTCAGTCTAATATAACAGAGTATATTGCAAAGATGTACATAGTTTAGGTTTCCTTCAGTTAACAGAATTCGGAAATTTGGGATTTGTAGATTTGGAGATATCAGGATATTAATATTGTGGTTTAAGTAGTTCAGACATTGTGGAATTTGTGATTTATGGATTTGAAAATTTAAAAATTCGAGCTACTTGAGGATTTAGTAGTTGCAAGGGTGCAAGAATTTGAAAACTTGGATATTTAGGACTCTGCAAATTCGAAAATTTGGGATTTAGGAATCTAAAAAATTGAAGACAGCAAACATTTTTTAATTCGTAATTTTTAAATCTGGGAATTCAATAATTCCGAAGTAATATAGGAAGAATCTTGAGTAGAAAGTTGTCTTCAAGATGTCCTGTCATCCGCCATCTTGTCAACCTAACCATTCGCCATTGCTACAGTCAGAACTAGGTAACAAAAATGCTGGTATTTAATACAGCGATAATAAGGTGACATCGCAATTAAATTTATCATAAACAAAACTACCTTTAACTACAAATTAAACTACAAACTACAAACAAATCTAAATTCAGTTACATTCAACGAAAGTATCGAAGTAACCAAGAAGTTAAGGTAATGTAAACTATCGACACTTCTCCATCAAATTAAAAATTTCTCAAAGTACAAGTATTTCATCGTATCGAAATTACATGATAAGAATATTTCGCAAGGTTTTCACAGCGAATCGAATCGAAAATCCGAAGCTCGGAGGATTCTGCGATGGAGAGCGTTGGGTAACCCAATGGGTGACTGCCTTCGCAACAATTGGCACCGTGATCGCGCACTTATGCATCTACGGCAATGTTCGTGCTAATTAGAGATTTTGTGGGCACAAGTTAAGAAGGGCCATTAATTTGTTTGACGTAACGCCAGTTACGTGGCCGGTTAACACGAATCCGCGAATTGGGACTCGAGTATCGACCTGAATTTCCATCGAATCGTCCTCTGCTGCAGAAAACGACACCGAATTAGTGCAAACGTTTTCGAAAACGGTGGCCAATAAACGATGGCGAATAACACTTAGTCTCTCGAGGCCAAATTAAAGCGTTCGCTTTTCTCTCTGTATGTCTAGTCTTGATTAATTGCAACGGTTCGAATTTTTGGGTGACGCTGGGAATTAATCGACGGTAAATGCAGCGCTGAATAAGAGCTGGTAGTTATTGAGAATTCGATGAGTTTTTATTAGTTTTTAAGCGGAATTAAGAGGTTAGCGAGTGTTCGCGTAAATGTTTTCTCGTTTTTGGAATTTTGGGAGTTTTGATATTCTAAGGTTTTGGATTTGGGAATTTCTTAATTCTGTAGTTTTTCACTTTTAGACTTTGAAAGATTGGAGTTTTGTCTTCGTAATTTTAGGACTTCAGGATTTTTTGAAGTTTTCGGAACTTTGGAACTATTAACTATTTACATACAATTCAGTACATCCACTGCAGAAAGTATCATTTTGAAAATAAAAGACATGTGCTTCCATGAAATTAATTAAGCAGTAAAATGAGTATAATCGTACAATTTCATGAATTGACCCTAAGCATAAAATGCAAACAAATTGAAGTAAAATATTACTACTAACAAATAGTAGTTAAAGCAAATAAAAGAAACAAATATATAAACGATTATACACATTATCTGAACAAAAGTGAAGTTCCAAGAAGAGCACCCTGTAAGAAAGTGAACATTACGTTGTTTCGGTAGTTTCAGTGTCAACGAAAGTAACAAAGTCAGTGGTAGCAATGAAAAATAAATACAGGACGAGAAAGTCGAGAATAAGAAAGTTTTACGTACCACAAGCAAATTGTGCTCGGAGCCGCGTGCCTAATGCGATTGTAGCGTGCCACTTGGAATTCCTTGCTGCTCTGAAAGTGTTCAAGTATGTGCCGTGCGCTGCAACAGAATTTTTCAAGCGATCACGATTTATAACGCATTAATAATATACATGGGTAAAAATAATTTCGTATCGATTACGTCGTGCGATAGAGGCTGGTTTACATCGATGCTTAACCGTCAATGTTCAACTAAAAAACGTTTTACGCTGTATGATCACAACATAATAACGCACACGTGTGCGCGACGAATAATACCCTTGGTGCCGTGCAATTTATTTCGTTAGAAATTTCATTTCAGTTCCCGCCATCAAACTTATTTAGCTATTTAATTGCATCATTTCATCGGGCATTCTCTTCGAAAGACGTTGATTAGATTGTGTATTACATGTTTATAATTTTATGCTGCGCCGATAATTCGTTTTAATTAACCGTCATCAGATTACGAAACAAGAAAGAATGGTTCGTAAATTGTAAACAGGCTGAAGGTAGTAAACAATAGGAAAACAACCTTGGTCATAAAGCTGATTTACTTCGTGATTTAATTATAATTATCGGAGTGCTGCGGTGTAATTACGGACATAACGGGTAGCCATTTAGTGTATGAATAAGTGAAGAATTTCATTTGAACTTTCTCGGACTTCTTATTGCTGGAAGCATACTATAAATTATCGACTAGTAAAATGTTCTGTGGTACAGTAAAATAGTGCAATAGTAATGTCGTTGCATAATAGAATTAATGTATGATAGAATTAGTTGAATGGTAAAATAGAAAGACAGTAGAGCAGTATAATAAAAAAGTAAAAGAGTAATGTATTATACATATAGTGATTTATAGTGAAGAGTTAAAATAGTGAAATGGGTGAAGTAAAAATAGCAGCATAGTTATACACTAATATAGCATAAAAGTAGTGAAGTATTGGAACGACAAAGAAGTAAAACTATTAGAAAATTAGATGAAACAATACAGTTATACAGGGTGTTCGGCTATTGGCGGGAATAATTTCAGGGGAGCTGGGATGATACTGAATAACTCTTTCCTTTACCAAAATGTTGACTGAAGCTTAGTTTTTAAATTATTAACGAAAAACACTGACCATTCAGAGCGCGAAAATAGCGCGCGTCCGGACGCGAGAGTGATGGCTTCGAGCCTGACGGCTGAGCGTGATCGTGAACAAGTATTTACTGTGACCGGTGTTATTGATTGGCCAGTGTATTTCGATAATAATTCAAAAACTAAGCTTCAGTCAACATTTTGGTAAAGGAAAAAGTTGTTCGGTATCACACCAGCTACCATCCCCTGAAATTATAGCCGTATTACCCTGTATTATAATACAATATAGTTATATACAGTATTAAACTTTTGCACAAACTTGTTCTATGGAAAAATGATTGTAACAGTAATATTGAAGAAAAATGAAATAATAAAAAGTGGAACGGTAAAGTAGCAGAATAACAGTACTGTATAGCAGCACAAAGAATAATAAATACAATAGAAAGATAATACCAAGAAAAATGTCCACGAAAATCAATAAAATTTTGTACTCCTACTGCACCGATTTCTCTACAGCAAAGAAAGCGCAGTTTTCACAAAACAATGAAGAATCTTTATTAGATCTAAAGATATAAGATTGGCTCGCGAATAATGCGTTAATTGATTCGATGAATGCGAACGATTCGATACATGCATCGATACAACAGTTCGTTGGTAGAAAACCGATACACGCAATGTTTGGAAGCACGCCAGCCAAAAGGAAAATCTGACGCATATAACGTACGAGCGAGTTAAGCCGCGGGTGAAAATGCTGGACGCTTCGAAAGAAAATGCATCGCGCTCGTGAAAACGTATACTTGATAGCGGGCCACCGGATAATTCATTTCGATCTAATTCAGGAACGATGAAGTCAGCTGATTCGCTTACCCTTTGCGATCAGCGTCAACAGAATCGCGGGTTGAATGCTTCCGTTTGTGTTCATAACACATAAGTTATTGTTTCAACGCCGCTGTTCTCGCATAACCAGCAGGTTACTGTGTCTCGCCAGTATTGTCAAGAAACAAACGCTTTTGTGTGTCGTCGGTGTTTTTCATGTATTTCGTCTCATATCTGAATTCCACAACTTTTTAATATTTTTAATTATTTTTAAATCTCTGAATTTGCAAATATTAAAATTTCTAGTTTAGTAAATTTGCGAATCCTGGATTTCAACTAAATTTTCAAGTTCATTAGGAAACTGAAGGATTTAGGAACTTGGAGTGTCCAAATCTCTAAGCTTCCAGATTTTTAAATTCTTAAATTGGTAAGCCAATTTCCAAGTTCCTGAAAATTCAAATTTAAATCTCTAAATCCCCAAGGTCTAAATGCTCAACTACCTAAATCCCCAAATTTCCAAATCCCTAAATTGTGAAGTTTTCAAAGTTCCAAATTCCTATATTTCCAGATCCTTATATTCCCGAAATTTTACATTACCAAATTTCCTAATCCCCTAGTCGAAAATCTCCAAATCCCTAAATCTCCAAGTTTCCAAGTTCTCAAATCCCTAAATCGTCTAATCCCCAAATCCCCAAATCCTCAAACCCTCGAATCCCTCAACTCCAAAACATCCAGCCTCCCAAACACCCACCTCAATATTCCAAATTCCCAAATTTCTGAACCTAACAATTTTTAACCACCTAAATCACTGATCTACTAAAACCCCCAAATGAAATTACACCTCCATTTCATTCGTGCATTCCACTGATTGAAACGAGAAATACGCGAATGGAGTCGCAATTGTGACAATCCATTGTTTCCACTTGACATTTCCATTGTTTTCGCCTGTTCGGTTTTACACCTCTGCATACGCGGCGCAATAAATTGATTTCTCTGTGAGATAGTTGTTAAGTAGCTAATGGAACAATAAACGCCAGGAGGCGACGAAATTTACGGTTTCAAAATGGTCGAATGCAACGATTCGCGGTACGGTCAGTTCTTATGTAAGTGCTCATTGTTTCGACAGCTCGTCGGATGAAAGGTAAACGGATTTTAATGGATTCGCCCGAGATCGATACTAAAACTGACGGCAGTTTGTGATTTCAAGCTGTCTGAATTAAGAAAACGCGACCGATTGTTCACTCGATTCTTACCGGAGAAATAAACAATGCGCGAGGGTCGTTCCAAACAGACTGTGACTCGATACACTACTTTTTTAGTGTGACTCATACTTCGTGTTCGGATATTTCACCGATAGTATTTTAATCGTTCATTAATTTTAGTCGATATAAGAGTGTATCATTTTATATAACTACGCATGTGTATCAAAATTAAAGAAGCAACTGAAGAAAATGAAGGTAATTAAGGATGTTCAGTATTGCAATAAAATTGCAGAAGTTTATAACTGAATACTAAAATAAAAAAGTATATTAAATGAATACTTTCACTGCAATAAACATAGTAATAAAATTTCAAAACCATAGACCGTATGTTAATATGATGTATGATAGGCTTGGTATAATTCAAGAAAATTAAATTTTATGGAAGTTAAGTATTAGTATTCAACAAATCGGTATTGAACAGCCTCAAAGAACACTGTAATCAACCACCTTTTCAATAAAATTTTAGAGCAATCTCATAATAAAGTATGTCTGTTATACCATCATTTTTCATTTTAATGTGTTTCTTCCGCTAATCCGTATAACCATTCGAAATAACTTTGATCCATAGGTAGGTTGTACTCGCTGTACGAGATAATCGTAAGAGGATCGTAAAAGATTAAATTTAAACAAGCCCGAGTAGATGTACGAAACTCTTTCTTTTTCAAACCGTAACGAGACCAATATAGCATTACCGGGAAACAGATTAATTATAATCGTACGTCTTGACAGTGGAGCATCACCGAGAAAACTATAAATATCGACGCAAAAGGTGAACGACCTAAGGTCCCGTGAAAATTATTCGGACTATTAATGTTCTTGCATCAATGTAGTCATCTTGACGGTCACATATTCTGCGGAATCGATAATCCTTTAATTTTAACACGCTCACTATTCGATTCACGGTTAATTGGAAATTAGTGTAATACATATTACTTCTTTTTTAATTAAATTATGGAAGATAGTGTTGATAAAATTCGCACGGCGATGTAACGCGAGGCGATTTCATCTCTGGCGATATAACGCGAGGCAACGTTACTGACGAAGATATAACGCGAGACGATGCAATATGTGGCGATATAACACGAGACAATGTAATTCACGGTGGTATAACGCACGATCGTGTAACGTCCGGCGATATAACGAGAGACAATACGCAGTGATACAATCCATAACCCATCCTAATACATAGTAATGTAACACGTGACAATATAATGCGTGACGTTGTAACTTGTAGTGACATAATGAATGGCGATGTAACGCGTAGTGATACAACGTGACGTCCCAACCTATGGCGATATAATATGTAACGACGTAATACAGCAACGTAACTCATCACGATATAACATGTAATGATCTAGTTCATACAGATATACCTGGCGATGTGATGCGTACAGATATAATGTGTAGCGATAGAATACGTAACGATATAACACTTCATGTTCAGCAAAATATTTGCAATTCGTGATCGCATTCTATGATGATGGCGAGATTTTGACTATGCGTGAAATTTCTTATAGAAATGGCAAGACAACGAGAAAGTACAATAGCATAATAAAATGTCTGATTTGCAGCGCACTGACGACTCCCACAGTAATTAAATAACTCTCAAATGTGTATAAATATTTCTTCATACATGACATATGTTTGGTTCCGAAATGAAAAACGATGTACGTTAAAATGAAAAGAACAAGGTATATGATTAGGGCAATGTGCCTACGAGAAATATCGGCAATAGGATCGAGGGTAGCAAAAATTTTGCCAAAACGAAAATGTAGGCAGTTACGTCGTATAAAATCACGTGCATCGATATTACATTTTGTAAGTGCAATGATGAGTATACGCGGGTTGCCCTTGGATAAGATCCAAAATAGTTCCGGCACCTTACTTCGAAGCAGCTTCATACTAAAATACCAACTGCGTACTTAATACCTAATTATACTTGCTCGATGCGTAAGATAAGATATAACAGGGAAATAAAATCATGCGGTTGGGTATGCTTTTTATACGTATGCACGATTGTCACGAGGGATTTCGACCTTGTTCAAAAATCACCCAGATTTACCGTATCCGCTCGTTTCCCTTTAATCTCGCGCCATTGTTTTGTTAACCCGAATACTGTGATGTGCAGAATGAAATATACGAGTTTCTGCGAGAGTGTTTCATGTCAGTTTGACGGCCAACACCGGGGATATTTGTTTTCGATAAAGTTTAAATTTGTATTACTCGAAATGACCGAATTATGTAGTTTTAAAAGTATTTACGTACACCTGTTATCGTTCACTGAATCGAACGGGTTTCGATGGATTTTGTTAAACAGTGAAAACGCGATGTTACATAATGCGGAATGAGCTAGCTCAAAATTAATGGTTTGGTTGAAAATGGATGTATGATCTTCAAACATGAACGAAAAATGAAATTGATAAGAATAAAACACTGACCTCTTCTCATTTGAAACAGCTACCAAAACACGTTTCCGTGCGAAAGGCATTATGTCCACTTGCCCAAATGATGACAGCTTCTCGACCAGCTGAAATGAAATTGTAGTTATAGAATAGAAGTTAACATTTCATTAATGTATAATTTCACGTTGAGATGTACCTGTGTCGTATTGATCGTTGGTGACTTTAATCTCACGTGAAGCCACTCTGGTTTCGAGTACATTGGATCATCTGCGTCAAGTTTCTGAAATATCACGCTTTAACTGGAAGTACTAGCTTAAACAATGTAAGACTTTATACGGTAATTCTTATTTACCATACAAATTTCATTGCTTCTTGATATATTTATAGAATTCACAAATTCTTTTACACCGCTCAACAATTCTGAATGCGTTATTCCCCTTTCTACTAAACCACTGAAACAATTAAGGCTTAATTATTGAACAAATTAGTTACTTAATTAGCGGTAATCGTATAATATCAACAGACCTTCCATATTTTTTTAAACTAAACACGGATCCCACTTTTATAAAAATGAATCCGGCAATGAAAGAATCCCACCCTGCATTGTGATAATTGTTCACATCTGAAAATTATTGAAAATAGAAAGGATGCAATAATAAATAGATAACTTATTCATTTAACGAAAAATTACTCACCTGAAGATGTATGTTTCAAATTCACTGTTGGTGAATTTAATGTCAAAAATTTTCCTGCACTGGACGTAAAAAATTCGTATATATAATTTAACGAGCTCTGCTTCCAATGTACTGAAAGAAAAATTAATTTTAATACATGTAGCAATTTCAACAAATGACTTTCTTTACCTTCATCAATATACAGCCTTCGCAATTCAATACTCAGGAACTTTGTATCATATATTTGTGGAAATATGGAGTGTATATTACGTTTAAATTCAGAATATTGGGCTGTGGAAAATATGAATTTGAATTATTTGATCATTTAAAACTACATTTAACAGCATTTACTCCATACCTGGTAATGGTTTGTAAAATTGTTGGTAAGTAAACATTAAATCAAAGAGTACGTTATGACCAATTATAGGTTTCTTTGAAGAACAAAGTAATTTGAATACTTTAGAAAAACCTATGTATGAATCTAAAACTACTTGCTCCAAGTCACCATTATCTTCCTCTTGAAAATTATTAGCCGACACTTTTTTAAGAGTTATCTGAAATTTTTAAGAAACATGTTATACATTTTTAGTTACACTTGAACATCAACAATAAACAGTAATATATACGTACTGTTTTATACCCTGGTATTATACGAATATTATCATAATTCTCTATTACTATTTCATGAATCAAATATTGTACTAAAGGATTGTTAACTTCTAGTTTAACGGCAAAATCACGTGAGTTACTAAATAACCAATTCTGAATTTTATTCATGCATTCCTTAAAATTGGTTTCATCGTCGTATGATAAATGATTCAACTTATATGTTGAATTAGTTTCCTTTAAGTATTGCCGGAAAGACTTTTCATCTTGCTCATTAAGATATGGTATACCATGATTCACAAGCTAGAAATAAATGTTCCTGTTAACATTTGGTCTTGCTCTTTACTTTTATCGGTAACATAGTTTTATAACATACCTTATTAAAATCAAAATTATGCCTGCTCAGGAATTCTAATGCATCCACTTGCCATGTTAATTGCTTATTTTTAAGTGGCAGTGATCGTGGCAGTAAATAAAAAGTGAAACAGTCTGCATCGTAAAGATTCATATCAATAGCATGATGAAAAACTGTGATGCCATACTGTATTATTGTGAAGTTTTCAATAGTGTCTTTCAGTTTTTTATAACGCGCGTCCAAAGAATCAAAAAAACTAAAATAAAACAATGCAAACACTGAGTAATACAACCATATTTGCGACATTTAAGAAAAACTAACCTATATTTGACTTCAGTATCCGCACTTATACCCGTTAATTCTGTGTCGATAGCAATAAAGGATGCATTGTTTACAAGTTTCTCCAATTGTAGATAAACTTCATTGAAGTTTTCATCCAAAACTTCATTCATATTAAATGTTACTTTCAAATATACACTGTAACCTAACCTCAAAGTAGATATCACATGTATGTAGTCCTATTTATGTGAAACAATTGTGTAACTTATTTTATAATAATGGTATATTACTTTAATCACGTTTAATGTTCTTTTATTTAGAATTTTATTTGTGGACAATATCAACGATTTCTAGCCGACTATATTTCGTGCTAAGGGTTTATTTAGAACACGACCATATGTGTACTGTATATGTATGAACTAATAGTGGGCATTTGTGTCAGTGAAGGCGGGATGTACACATACAAGGAACATGCAGTTGTAGACAAAATACTGGAAAACTTTAAAAGTTTAATTGGAATATTGATTCTCCAAAAGCTTAACCTCTAAATATCAAATTCGCTATACTGAAGGAGCATTTATTCGTTTAATTTAAACACACCTTAATATCGCATATTAAGACGTTACCACACCGTGAAACTTCTCGTGACTTGAAGTTATCAGTCAGTCAATCGAACATCTTAATTATTAAGTTTATTACACTTACTTGTATTTCTACAATAAAACTACATTATCTGACGTTTTTATTTTGTTAAATTACATGAAATTAACTCAACATCACTGCTATACAAATAATTGCAAAATACTAATCAATTGACGATTATATAAAACAAAATAACTCAATAGTTTTATTCATTTATTCTACGCATTTAAACGAAAGACTTTTAAAGCAGCCGCTCTCTTTCTGTTTTATGATCTCTTAAAGTAGCAACTAGTTGAACAAACTAATTTCTCGCACGTGTCAAATCTATCATCAAAATCTATCATAGACTTCTGTCTATCGTTTAATTAAGACAATTATTTGAAAATATATTATACGTTAACTTTCACTCTGTTCGAAAATCGACATTCTCTTTTCTAATTCTTCAACAAAATTTTCTACGATTACAATTCGACAAAACATTTATCGTTTCAACAGTGAAATTACAATGATACCAAACAGTAAACTTCCTGTTCGAGAAAATTATCAATGTATCTACATTTGCAATCGATAATTACAGTTATTAGACAAAAACGAATAGTTTTTGCATAATTTGTTGCCACGTAAAACCCAAGTGAACGAGCCGGTGTCGTTTCGGCTAGAAGCCGCATCAGCGAACGAGCAAGTGAACGTTTCCGCAGTTGAAAGATCTTTCTTTTAATCCAGAAACAACTCTCTCCCTGGCAATGAACTCACCGGTATCGTGCTAGTGTATCCACGGCCACGAAACCGGCCAGTTCGGCCTTCTGATCCTTTCGTTTCAGTTGTGAAACGCGTCAAGTATCATCGCTGGAACCACAACTCCATCAAAGTTTCAGCAATGCTCTTCAGGTTCGCGATTTTCGTCGGCCTCACTTCCGTCGTCGCGACCATCATTTACCTCACTCCTATACCAGGTTAGTTACATTACCTCTGCTAATTATTTACCCGTTTATTTCCCGCGTTATTACATCTGACATTTATTGTGGAATATTTTTATTTTGATGACACGTCGAATGTGCCAGTGTAAGTGGACTTGTGGTGTAAGAAAGTTATTACCGTTTCAAAAAGCACGTTTTTCGAAATTGAATGCACAGTGACGATACAGATTTATCCAAATGACAGTATGGGTTTAATCTGTGCAATGACAGGTCATATTTCATTTTGGACAAAGATTTTAAAAAATGGTGGATGTCATGGAAGATCTATATTTTTAGAACACCATTTACACAGTTACATTTTTTAGATGTGCATTTGACAGTTTTTAAAATGTGTTAACGTCAGTTAATATAATTTTGATCTTTCGTTTTAAAAATACGATTGAAATTATATACTATTAATATAATCGTTTGACGTTTCTTCTTATTAGTGTTACTAATTACTCAATTATGTAAAATTCGAAATATGGCTTACAGATGGCTGTCATAGCGTAAAATGTGTTGGTAATATTACGGCATATGTAACATGATGGATTATAATTGTAATTATCTAACGTTTCATAACAGCATTATTTGATTGATCCTTTTTGCTGCTGTGAGCTATTATGAATATTTAAATAACAATTAAAAATAAAAAACATTTACTTCTTATTACGAATAAAATTTAACGAAATAAATTTAGTTAAAAATTATTTGAGAATTTCGAAATTTTTGAGTTCGAACGTTTGTTGTGAATGTTGACTTATCGACCGAGGTGTTCAAAAAATTTTCAAATCTTGCAAAAGAATTATTTTATGTTATGATATGCATTAATATGTGTACAAAGTATACCTTTATTTTTACGCTTTTCATTTTAGGAAAGTGATATGAAAATTGTTTATGGATCTAATACATTATTTTCGCAAAGAGTATACATCTTTATTTCAATATAATTTTTACCAGAGAAACATTAAAAGTGTACCATAATATCTACCATTTCTAAAACGTGTATCCATAAAGCGTTTAATAAATAATGATGCAGTCCTGCAATTATATTGCATCAAATGTTACGTCAATATTTCAAAATAACTCTTCTGTGCGCAGTATTAAAATCATAATTATAAATGGCTGGAACTATTTTATAAATCCTGACATTTTGTAATAGTACTATATTTGATCGATGCACCAAAGGAGCTTGTCTAGAACCTGTCCATGTGAACGACCTGGAAGGTTGCATACCTTTTACATCCGCTCGATCATCATGCACAAAAAGTAATGTTATCATCATCATTGAACCGTTATGCATACCAGATGGCATTCAACTATCATATCCGTACAATGGTTATTCTTGACTGCCCCATTCTTACAAGAATTACAATCAAACGATTCTCTCAAATTCTTTCGCGCATGAGGTACTCGACTTCTTTGATCAAGCAAAGATTTCCCATTCAAGTGTATTCCTTTTTGTCGTCGTCTTTATTCAAGCGAATGGCAACACAAAATAGCTGTAAATATCCCTGTCTTCATCGAAATATTTGCCTTTGAACGAAAGTTTAACGTGAAAGCGCAGTATATTCTAGCATCTACGCATAGAAACAACGCGACCACGCTTTCTTTCGTTTCTGTGACGTCTCGCTTCCGCCATCGGTGGTGACGGGAGCCAAATATGTGCATTGCAAGCAGGTTCAAATCTAACCGGATAATTTTTACGGAATAGCAAACATACTTGAATCTGAACGAGATATAATTTTCTGCGGTATATATTTATTTGAAGGGAAACCAGAGCATATTTATACGCCAGTAGTGGTTGAACCACCATTTTCATTAGAGACTTCAAGCTTCTTGCCATTCTGACAATGCTATAAGTAGCTTTGTAGGACTTTAAAAGTTTACTCCTGGAAATTTCATCTCGTTCAAACTACTCTTGTGAACACCAAAGTGTTTTCTAAAGATAGGACGTCTTGAGTATTGTAGCGAGCGATGAGAACTTGTTTTACATTCTCCCTTAGGGAAGCTTACTGTTATGGAACGCTAGAATCTGTAGACTCTTTAGAATCAAAAGGTTACAAAATTGCAAAGGTTACAAAAGTTCATGAAACTCCTAAAATTTCTAACAATCCTACAAATCAGGTGTATTAACTCAATAATTAGCACAATAAAATGGGTGACAGTATCACTCATATTTTTCTAGGGAAGTGAAATTTACCCACGTAGAACGAAATATTATTCCTCTTAAGCAGCATTCGTTATATGAAGTGAAACTTCATGTCCGAATTGTCTTATATTTCCAATATATTACTTGACGTTCACAGTGCTTTTTACAATATTTAGATATTCGCGTGAAAACCCGTAATACTTCACTTTCTCCTTCGAGCAACAATGTGCAGCATCTTGCAAGAATTTAACGAACCCGTAAGTTTCTTCTACTGCAACTCATCCGGAAAAAAATTCAATCAACAAAATTGGGTAACAGAATTACCTTCTTTTATCTTCACTGAAGACAATTTTTTTTATAAGATGTCCTACAGAGGGCAATTGTAGAGAATAGAAACTGACCGACTAGAAACCAAACCAGTTTTACAGCCGCTAAGGAAAGTAATTCGTGGTGAATTGCGTAATTCGGTGAAAAAGAAAGTATCCTTTTTTCATCGAGGTACCAAGCAAACCGCAACGTGTTTCAAACTTTTAGGAGCATGCAACAATTTCCAACGTGCATAAATAACAGCGTGAGATACTTCAGTGAAATTTATGTACATCGTAGCATTATTTCAATATTGATCAAGTTATGCAAAACGGATGATACAATATTTGTTGATATAATTGCATCTTTGATTAAAAAGGCAATCAATATATTTTTTCTTGATTAATCAGCACAGAATGCCAGGTTGGTGAATTTTGCGATGTCTGCACTTTTGGAGTTTATTGAAGTGTAGGAAACAGCAATTTTTTATAGGAGTCAATCACCTCACAATTAAAATCTCTAAATTTTTGCAAGGATAAAATCCCCAATTTTCATAATTTAAGAAATTAAAATGTTTTTAACTCGGATTTAAAAATTTTCAAATTCCTAAATTCTCAAATTTCCAAATCTCTAAATTCCCAATCTCTCAAATTTCAAAATATCTAAATTCCCAATTTTCAAATTTCCAAATTCTTGAACTCCCAAGCCTTTAAATTCCCAAATCCCTAAATTTCCAAATTTTCAAATTGCCAGATTTTCAAATTTCCAAATCTCTAAATTTCCAAATTCTCAAATTTCCAAATCTCCAAATTCCCAAATTCTCAAATTTCCAAATCTCCAAATTCCCAAATTTCCAAATTTCCAAATCTCCAAATTCCCAAATTCCCAAATTCCCAAATTCCCAAATTCCCAAATTTTCAAATTTCCAAATCTCCGAATTCCCAAATTCTCAAATTTCCAAATCTCCAAATCCCCAAATTCCCAAATTCCCAAATTCCCAAATTCTCAAATTTCCAAGTCTCCAAATTCCCAAATTCTCAAACTCTCAAATCTCCAAATTTCCAGATTCTCAAACTTCCAAATCTCTAAACACACTTTCAAATTTCCAATTTTCCGTATAAAAAAGTCAGGCTACACGTTTATCGAGACTTTCTGGTCGAATTAAAGCTAATTACAGGTGAAGGAAGTTTGGGAGCAAAAAAACACGAAGCACTCGTAAAGGTGAAAGCGACAAAATGATTATTAAAACTCGAACACGCCTGAGCGCTATCACATATTTTTTTCTCTCTTAGCCAGTTTAACTGTAACAGAATTTATAGAATTTGCTTTTATTTCGTATACTTAAATCAATCGTAACGACATCAATTGACCCAGTGAAATCTAATATGCGTAAACATGAAGAACGATGGTATAGTTTTATATTTCATTTATCAGCTTTCTATCGAACTGAAATTAAACACTTAGTAGAAATAAAAAGAATTTTCTGCAAGTTATGGAGCTCGTATAGATTCTACACCTCGTGATCAAGTTTCACAAGTTTTCAACTTGCGAAATGGCGCTAATATCTTGGATCGTTATAACCTTATACCTATTATAATTTTGCAACTTTACCTTGATCTCACAACGTTGATAATGTATTAATGAACGGTAAAATTTTTAGTGATTCAACTTTAAAATGTAAAGAAAATTTGAAAGTGGTACAACGATATTCACCCTTTTTGCATGAAACTGACAAATAAACTATCGTGACAAATTAGTTTTCAGAAGTGGAACTTGCTTGATAAAAATTTGGAAAGCGTGATCTAGATTACTTAGACTGCGATCGGTAATTAAATTAAAATTTTCAAATTACGGGTTTTCTCCTGTTGCCATTCCAAATCGTTTGAAATCGAAGCTAATAATATGGTAACATAATTATTTAGTAATTTCAAGAATTTTTGTGGATGATAACTTCTTTTGATTTTGTGATGTAAAAGCATTGTTGAAAATTTAATCAAAATTAGTTAGGTCACATTTACAAATTAGCAAATTGGTAATTTGGTAATTTAGAAAAGCTTATAAAAGAACTTTATAAAATAACTTGTGTTTTAATTATCTTTGCTATGGCACTAAATTTGCAACCATATAGGTAGAATTAATAAATTAGCAGTTTGTTATAGTTTGGTCATTGAGAGAAGCTTATTAAGAAACTTTATAAAATAACTTGTATTTTAATCAACTTTGCTACGACACCATACTCGCTCCACACATTTAAAATTCCTCAAACTCAATAATAAAGAAATCTAGCAATCTAAGAAATCTAACAACAGTTGTTAAAAGAATTATTGATTCTAATGATACCCACTTCAGCTTAGAACACTTAAATAATAAATTGTAATAAACAATCCTGAAAAGTGGAAAATTTAGTACCAACTTAATATCACAGTTTCGGTCATCCACCTTTCCTAACTGATTACCGTAATCGGTGCAAGTAAACATTCTCTTTTCTGCTTAACTACCGCATCCAACGAGCTCAAATAGTTAGTCTATAAAGTATGGA